CGCCTCCCCTGCCGTCCTTCCTGCTGCCCTGAATGATGTTTGCACAGCTGTAACTCGGTGAGCCTCCTGCCCCCCTCAGCTGTAGGGACAGCCTGCCCCAAAGCCACCGCAGGCGGCCGGGCAGTCGCACCCGACTCGCTTTCTTGAGACTGGAAACAGAAACAGCGTCTTACAGCGCCTCTTTAAAAAAACACTTTTCCAAAGGTGAGAGATGCGGCTAGCTACCGTTCGTCCAAAACCTAAATTTCTATTAAGCTGCCTAAAGATACTTGACTACAGCTCAAAACGCCTGCGCCAAGGTCTCCATTTTCTTCACTTTCTGTGGTAAGATACCTTAAGAACTTGACAAACTCCTCTGTAAGACCTAAACTCCATTTAATCTGTCCCTGCAGCTATTTCTCATGTAATACTGACTGTGGGCACTTCAGTTACAAAGACTACTTCATGTAGAAGTTGAATGACTACTTGCTTGGAATTTTTAGTTGTCCATAAATCCACTCAAATTCCAATAATCTAAATCAATAATAGTAATAAAAACGACAGAGGAAGCTGTCACAAAGTAAATTATACCTTACATATTAATGTAATATATCTCAAGGTTTGTGACGCATCACTTAAAATTTATTAGTAATAATGAGTGAGAAAGGCTAATACGTACTAGCTGCTAAAAGCCCCACGTAAAACTGTGCAAATGTAGGGGAAATACAATCCCTACTTGAAAATGTTTACAGTCTAAAGTAACGGACAGAGCACAGGATCTATAAAACATAACAGCTTCGCTAATATTTTTGTTTACATGCATTTTTAATCTGTGCGTATTAGGATGTGAATTAGAAGTGAAAAAGTGAGGAGAGATGGAAAAGTTTATTCGCGGCTTTTCCCTCCTTAGTCACACGATCTGAATTTTGTAGACTTTGTGAGGACTGGTGCAGCATAAGAGGTAAAACAGATGTTTAGATTTCATCAAGCCATTTTGTCCTTGCAAGGGATGTTCAGTTTTACTTTTTGCTCAGTGACTGCTTCACAATAAATCAGGAAGTGCTTTTCAGTTGCCAGTGCAGAAGCTGACTGCAAAATTGCCAGGATCGCAAGTGTTTCACTCAGCTGCACTCCAAACACCGTACATAATGTTTCTGCAAACGTTCCCTTCTTGTTGTAGTTCAAATGTTTGCACTGCTATCCATCACTGTGCTAAAGACCTTCTCATCCATGGGAAGGATCCTGCCAAAAGAACGGCCGCGTCTGCTGATAGGAGAGGTTCCAGCCGTCTACAGGAGCATTGGAGGAGAGACACAGTATCAGGAGTTCAGTACACAGAGGCAGGTTTACAGCACTGAAAATATATATGGGTTTGTAAGTGGTCAAAAGTTTCAGCAGGGTAATTAAATAGAAGATCCCAGATTTATAAACTAAACATTCCATAGCAGCCAAACAAGGCTTAAACAACTAAGAAATATATTACATAGGAAAGTTTTGGAAAATTTAATTGCCCAAGTGCTCTGGGGTGCAGTGTTTTTCCTATTTAATCACTGAGTCTTTCTGGTTTAAGCAGCCCATATAACAAATCCAGATATATTAGGTCTTTGGCAAGCTAACAGTTTTTGTATCTGACATTTTCCCTTCAGAAGACAGATCCAATATCTACGCATCTTCAGCTGGCACAAGGCTAGAACAAAAATCCTAGAGTGTTCAGTTACATGTAAACCAAAGTTGGCAGCACATCCCCGTCCGCCCAGGAAGGTGAGATCCAGTAAGCACAACTGTGAGAGCAGAGAGCAGCACATGGACAAGTGAGCTGGTCCAGGTATGGTGCAAAGTAGTACAGGAATGGAATTGGAAAGTATCAGAACAGTTCACAACTAATGACTACTATAATATAATCCAAACTGAATTTACTGAAGAGTGAAATAATAATGTCACTGTAATTTGCCAGTTACCTTCTTAAAACCATCAGGAACATCAAGAAATTGGGTAGTCCTGTCCTGTCTGAAGACACATTTAACTACATCCTATCTCATCCTATTTGCAAGAGGCCCTTGATGTTGAAAACTCCTTAGGCAATCTTAGGGCTTCCCACAATTAACAGAAGATCTCAGTAAGAGCAACTAAGTTTCCGTTCAATATGGTCTTCCTTTTACGTTAAGAAATTAATGTGAAGGCATCCTTGTAACAGTAATGAACTACTGTGGTTAATTTAATGTGCTATGCTGAGAGACCATCAGAGATTGAAGAAGTTAACATTTGTCCCTGCTCACTGCAGGGGGGTTGGGCTAGATGACCTCTAAAGGTCCCTTCCAACCCAAAGCATTCTATGATTCTATGATTTGTTTCTATCTGTTCTTTAATCTGAGAAATTTATCTTGTTAAGCAGGTAGTCTTTCTTCCTTCAGGGCTTCCACCTATTACATCCATGAGCCCTTGTTTAGAAGGTGCTTGCATACTGCATTTGCATCCAAGTTGTTCAATTTGGGGAGCAAGACCTGGTTGCAAACAGCTTTTTGCTCAAAGTACTATTGTGGTATCTTCTGATACCACTTTCACCATGTTCACTAGATTCACCGATCGCTACTAACATACTTTGAGGTTGATACACTAAATCATGTAAACTTGAATAGAAATGTATAGTCAAAAGTGATTTAGTTTTACTTTAGGCTATTTATCAGCTTGTTCATATATTGCAAAATGCATCCTTTTTTTGTTTAATAAGGGACAATATGGTGTCAGAAGTTAACGTTCCAGCTATTTTCTCTAAACTGTTGTTTTATTCTGGTTTGTTCCCCCCCGCCCCTTCTACATATATCACTGGTGTATATTCCAGCCTGGTGTCTCCCTCCCTTCCCCAGGAAGTGAAAACAAAGTAGTGGCGTACATTTTTTGTGGCATTTCTCAGAGCTTGCTTGTAACCATCCCCTCTGCCCCTTAAGTTTGGTAGGCCTCGTTCATGCAGAGGATCCGGATGCACCTGCAAACTTGCAGCACGTGATACTTCCTTGAGTTGAAGGTTCCAAGTTGGCACCGTTCACGGAGAATGTTTCATGTAACAATAGGCCGTTGTTGTTCTTTCCAGCTCAGTTTATGCACACCTAGAGGTTCACAGACATATAAAATAAATGGTACTCTCAAATAACCTGAAACTATTTGTATATTGTGAAGGGTGGAGAAATTGTCTGCGTCTTCTAGAAATGAATAAAGAAACTAAAGTGAAGATATTAAGGGATGTATGAATAAACCTTTTCAGTAAATGCAGTTCACAGGTTTATACTTGTTTATAAGTGTTTAACCACAAATATCTGGTAATTAGACCATTAATGAATGACCATTAAATGAATTTGTATCAAATGATACACAGTAATTATAACTATCATGCTGACCCTCTCATTCAAAATTATTTTTAAAAGAAAGTATATGCCAGTATTTAAGACGTATCTGTCTTAAAGACATCGTTAACAGTAAAAAAATTCTGAGCCATGAAAGACCAGTAATAGCAAATGCTCCTTTCACAGTTTAACCTTTCACCCAGATAACCTTTTATCACTGCTTTGATGCTTTTCTTAAGAAACATGCCTTTTTTTAAAATACTCAAAACTACCCAACAGGTTTATTTGAAAATCAAATGTCTGCCACAAATTAGGCATTTGCAATGTTACTTCTGATATGAGCTAATATGTTTTAGAAGTAAAAATTGTAGCTGAAGTTTCAGGAAAAAATGTCAGGTTTTCCACAATTATATGACATTTGACCAGACAATTTCTGATTTGTTTGATTTAAATACAACCACTATGTTATGCTGACAGCCATACAAAACGTAAAGTAACTTGCCCTTTAACCCATGGTAATAATATCAAGATTTTGAACAGCTACAAACGCAGCATTTGCATTTTCAGTGCCATACCAAGTTGAATTCAGTACCACCTAAACCCAAAGCAGCAGCTGATTAAAAAAAGGAAACATAAGTCAAATGATAAAGCTACATAGTTTAGTACATTAAAACAAAACCAAGGACAATGGTATTTGTATAAGGTTCCAAAAATATACAGATGTGGGGAGGAAAAAAAAAAAATCACCATACACAACTCTGAGGTTGTTAAAGTGACCAGAGAGACTGAACAGTGCAAGACATGCTTTTCCAGTTACAAGCTCAAAACAGAAGTGCAAAAGAAATTAAAGCTTTGTCTGAAGTGATTTATCTTTTAGGATAAGGAAAGCTTAGAATATTGTCATCAGTGTTACAGAGAAATCTCCATCCCACCCACCCCACCCTCAACACATACACACAAAATAGTTTAAGTTTTTCCATAATACAGCATTTCATTCAAATGGTGTCCCCCTGAGCTTGGTTATTGTAGGGACAATTTGTCTGATACTTACTAGATGTTGGCCTATGAATCAGGTGATGCATAGGCAGCTTCTCAATTCTCCAGCTTTGGCTAACAACACCTGCAATTTACAGGCAGTGAAAGTGGTGGATAGCTTGGGTTCAAACTCTCCTGCAACTAGCTTCATAAGACCACCTCAGTGTAAGAAAGCAGTTGTGCTGAAAGCAGATGCTAATTATGGCTGAGGAAGAAAGACATTGCTTTGTAGGTCTCTGTACTCTCTCCCAGAGTTAGGAACAATTTCAGGCAAGTGCTTTTAGCAGGCTGACTAAGCTGTACATGCATCTATCCATGCAAACGTAGGATATGGCTCCCAAGACCTAGAACCAGGGTGTGTGCACGTGAAGACTGGATAGAAGGCCCTTCCTCAATAAGTTTACAAAAATATATAGCCAATACTGTAGCTTAAGAAGTCAGTTTTACTCATTACAGAGATCCCCAAAAAGTATTAACTACTTTTCAGACATTCCAGACAAGGTCACTTGTAACCAAAAAGGTCAAGTTCTCTAAAACAAGATTTTAAAAGTGGATCTTTCCTTCAAGTGAACAGGACATCTGTTTTTATGCTTAACTTTTTAGTCAGTTAAGACAATTTATTTAAGATGTTATGTGAACATATGCATAAACACAAATAAGTTTACTTTAAACACATCTGCACAGAAAAAAGATTAACCCTTCAAAACATAACAGAGCAGGTCTGGTTAGTATGTATCTATTGCAAATCTTAAAGATTCTGTGCATTAGGCCCACCCATACAGAAAGCAGGGGAAAAGTCTCAATGAAAGAAAATTACTGTTCAAGTCTAAGTGGTGTTTTGAAGAGCCAGCAGCCTAAGTGACACCATGAAGCTAGTCACAGTATCCAAACAAGCGGACCTGCTTGGGCTACTAAAGCAGTGTATCCTCCTGAAGGTATCATTTACTGCCAATTTATTTTCTGTTTCGAAGGCGTTTAGATTTCCTAGGACAGTCTGGGGATTCAACCGCCTTCCTCCGTTTTCTAGGAGATTGTTCATTTGAGCCAGAACCCGAAGAATTTCCTACTGTGCTCTCCATCACCTCTCGCAGCTTGCGTTCAAGCTCAGCCAATCGGGCGTTCTGTTCACCTATGATTTGGGTTTGCTCTAGCAGTTTCTGATCTTGATCTTGGAGTTGTTTCTGTTGTTCTTGCACTTTGATGCGAAGCTCTGAGATTTCCCGCTTTAGCGCTGTCAAGCCTGTGCCATTCGCTTTTACTTGCTGCTGGAGTTTGGTGACTTCCTGTCTTGAAGGGTTCTGCTTGGAGAACAGCTGCATTGTTGTCAGTGCTGCAGAAGGCCCTGGAACTTCAGAGAGAACTGTGATTAATCCTCTACAACTTTAAGACAAAGGCAGAAATTGCATCGCAGTTTTCATATTTTGCTTATCCCTGCTCCCCAAACTTGAATCTGAATACTGGCTGCAAGTTATGTGAACATGTAAACAGATCTACAGTCATTTAAACGTCTAAGAAGAGCACATGGTATCTCAGAGCACAACTAGTTTAATTTAAAGTACTTAAGATTTTCAGTAGTCTGGGAAACAGCTCATCGTTCGTTTTCTGTATGTAAGCCCCCCTCCTTTTGCCGGATCAAAAGTTACCTAGAGATATTATGTTGTCATCTAGACTTAGTGTCACAGATGTTAAGTCAAAAACCCACAACGTGTCTATAAATTACTTATTACAGAATAGTTACATTAAATAAATATATTTCAATAGAGCAGTACAATTCTGCTGTCTTAGTTGTAGACAGCTAAAGTTCTAAAAGTTTGTGGTTTGGGGCTTAACAAGATATTTCAGTTTAACTTACTTTTTAGAAGAAAGGAATTTATTTTCCATGCTTCTTTAGAATCACTCTTCCTAAGTACTAAAACCATACTGGAATCTGAGCTTGGGAATGTTGATTTTAATAAAGTTCCTGCAAATCAAGGAGACTAACAGCTACTGTGTAATTTCTTTCACTTTTTCTATCATTTTACTCTTCTAGCAATGCTGTGCAAGTGAGATGCAACTTTTAAGCACTACAAAGACAGAACAGTCTGGACCAGCCTAGAACAGTCATCCTCCTCTTCCTCTTTTTCTTCCTTTAAGATGCCAGCATAGCTACAGTTATGTGACACTAAAGGGTTGCCATTAGATAGGTTACACTCCTCCCTCAACACAAGATGGGCACTTTTATGCCACATAAAGCCTTGGCCTTGAAAAGCCAATTGACATCAACTGTGGTTTTGGGCAATATTTCCTCAACTGAAAGCCTAAATGGAATTGAGGTATAATTAACAGGATATAATTAAGAGGTGGTATACAATCTTATGGCTAAAAGGATGGACAGGACATACTAGAAACAACAAGCAGCTCCTACAGTTAGGCGTACCATTTTTGCTCATGATGTTTGTTTTTGGTTTTTTTTCCCAATTAAGTTATCCTTTCAGAGACTTAATTTCACAGTTCCCAAGAAGTGTGAAGATGTTCAGCGCAGGGAAAACACCACAGTTCTACTAACCTTTTGCTTTTGGCCATTTTATGAGGCAACTACCTTGTATTTTGGTTCACAAGAGTTCTAGGAAGTCTGACAGATTATACAAAGGACCAGTTGAATTGTTTATTTATAGACTGTTATTTTAATTGTCTTTTCACTATTACCCATAAGTATTTTGCTTGTTAGTGTATACATTAGTGCCCCAGGAAAGTGAAAAAAGCACATAAAGTATGTTCTAGCTCTCTGTGCACTATAACTGCTTAGGCTAATTCATTTGCTGATCATCCTAAAAATAAAAGGCATGGGGTTGTCATCTCATGTGCCAAATTTCAAGCAAGTGCAATGATAAAGTCTCATTCATTGGTGGCACAAAAGCGTTTGTTTAATGAATACACACTATGCATAATTCTATCATACATTCAAGTGACTGTTCTTCTGGTAGTACAAAGGCTCCTTAAATTTCAAAGCAAATGAATTTCAGTTAGCATTCTTAAGAAACAAGTATCATCAATATTTATGTAATAAAGCTCGCATTTAAAGGAGGGAGCTTTAAAAAGATACCGTGCTGTGAATTTTTACAGAAAAACTAAATAAAACTTAACTATACGTTGGAATTAATACCTGGGGCAGTTCCTATCAGACGTCCCGATACATCTGACCCAGGCATCTTTCTTTTCAGTATTGGAACAATCTTCTCATCAAAATATTCCATAGCCATGGAGGAAATGTCCCTTAGTTCTTGAAGAACTTCATGAGCTCTCTGAGGAGCTCTTGTAGAGTTTACATACCTTAGCACACGATAAATTTCATCTATTACCTAAAACATTTAAGAAGAATTAGGATTTTCTGATAAAGGCAAGATTATTTCAGATTATTCTAGAAGTGCTGGCATATTCAGGGGCTTTTATTATGTAACTGTTGCATACCACTGTGTGCTTTCGTTCTAGATCAGCTTTTTGAAATGAAGTGCTGTTCATGATATATCAGAGAAGCTATTCACTTCATCTATCACAACAACTCTCTTCAAACTCATGAAATAACACTCATTGTGTGAAATTCTGGTTTACTACATCCATACTTGACTTCTAAGTTATATAATCTATACTCAGCAGAGCACAGTAATTTGGTTTTGGAGAACCTGAAGCAAGATACTCTTAAGCCACACTGCAGAACAGTCACTTCCCCAGCCAGTTGTGAGGCATACAAAACACAAGAATGGAACAGCAAGATTTACATCAGTCTGAAAAGCTGTAAATATTTACTTGAGTCCACTTGCATACACCCGAAATACTGCAAATTCAGATTAAGTCCAAAATACATTAATTTATAAAACATCAATCCACTACTGCAGAGAACATAAGCACCCTCTCAACAGGTTTGACAAACGAGCCCTTTGGTTAGGGGAGATACACAGAGATGAAAGGTGTCTTGCTAATCTACGAATTATAGTCTGGGACAGGTCAAGATAGGAGCGCTGGTCTCTTATTACCAAAACTACTGACACAGGTATTGTGCACAGGATTAATAATGGTTGAAGAGTCTCCTGAAGAACACAGATCTTACGGACTTAGAATCATAGGTAACACAATACAGTGGCATTTTGGTTTTAATAAAGAAGCTTAGCTAAAACGTTGCAAAAGCTAGACAAGACTAAAGCATCTCATCACACAACAAGCTTACAAAAGACTTCTCTAAATTTACCCACGTTATATCCTGTTCACAACAACATCCTCAAAGCATGCTCCTGCCATCCTCAATATAAAATCTTGCAGCAGCGCTCTGCTATCACCAGGAGCCCTCACACAGTATGGCAAACCTCAAATCAGGACTCCCATATTCTAACACAAATTCACTTCCTGACAATTCTGTGGCAGCTTCATTCAAATGAAATTTCCTGAGGGGAGCAGGGCAGGTCGGGGGGAAACCACAGACTCTAAGTGAACACTAAGCCTTGAATCTGTTTGACCAAAATGGGATTTTCTGGTGAATTGGTAACTATGCTGAGAAAGCAGCAGCACTAGCAAGCTCACAGACTAAGTAAATAATCTAAAAAAAAACCCCAAACTTTTTAGCTGTGATATCAGAATACAAACAAGGTCCTTATGACTCAGTGCCCACAAGGAAAATGGCCGGCAAGGCAAGTTCACTTGCCCAACTCCTGCAGACCCCCGGTCTAAATTGAGTATTGTCTTTCCATCTACTCTTCAAAAAAGTAAGGCAGTATTTCTTTTAAGTATTCCATTTACTATGTGAGTATCAAGGACTTAAGTTTATTTGACTTAGTATTATCTTACATTTTTTAAAATACATGGTATATATAAAAATACAAAGTCAAATAAGCATAAATATATTAAACTATAATGATTTAATTTAAAATTAAATATCAAGTCAACAGGAGCGTACAGAAATCAAGTTACCTCTTCAAGACAAAAATACATTTCATGTCGACAGCCTATCCTACTGTACTGAATGTAAAAATGCCTGCCATGCTTCACCTGAATCCAACAGCTAACTTTTCCGTTCATCCCAGTGCAATTCAGTAAACTATCCATAAAAAATTAATACCAACATATCCAAACCTCACATGGAAAGATCGATGCATAGAGCATTAGGCTAACATTCACAGATCCTGTTTCAACCCTGAGCTGCACCAGTCTTCCTCATATCATGATTTTGTCAATTCCCCTGTGCACTTCTGTTTTCAGAGCTTATGAACAGTGGCGTCTCCAATGTACACCTCGCTTGCATAATTTATATTTTATGTTGGGATAGTATTCTGAAACATCACAATTGTTCAGTAGTATTAATATTTAACACACTTTACCTACATTTAAAACTAATTCCACCTACTGTACAAAAATACCCCATCCACTGAACAGTGTTCCCACATACTAAGTATCTTAATTCAACTAATCTGAAGTACTCAAGCCCTTAAGAAAGGTGCCTAAAATCTTCCTGATTGACTGAGTGCTTAGTGTTATACGTAGTCTAAATTACTACAACTTCTGATGACCTGGCCTCCAGCTATTTTGTACAATTAAATTTCAGAACTAAACCCTACATATCATGTGTTTCTTGTAAAAGGTTGTATAGGATGTACATGCCCCAAGTCAAACATAAGAATTAAGAGAGAATCTAAGGGAAAATAGAAATCAAGTTTAAAGTGATTAATATTTAGATATATTCTGGTTCATTCATTTCAGACTGCCTGTTACAGCAGAACATTGGCTTGTGTGTTTGTTTGCAAGTATTTGAAACATACTTTCAGTATATATACACACACACATATTATATAAATTTGTCCCAGCTGTCCCAGGTTAAGTTACACAATCATGTTTTTAAACACAGATATACATTCACATAACATAGTCTACATTTTACCTTTCCAGGTATGAAGCAACAGAGATTGGAATCCACATACTTCATGAAAGTCATATTTAACAGAGAGAGTCTTGTTTCTACAGCAGCAAGGATGTCTGCATGACGAGCTAATGAATGGTTTCTTCTTTCTGACTCCCGTCTAGAAGACAAGCCATTAAGTGACACTGATTTAACAGTCAACAAAACGAAACTGTAACAATCGCTCAAGTTAATTTCACCCTTAAAACCCTCTGTGGTTTGAAAATTTAACCACTAACATTAGTTCTATCTTTATGGAAAAAAAATTGATACAGATTGAGAACCAGCGAGTAATAGCATACTACATTTTCTTAAAATATTCTCTAAATAATTACTACATCTTATGTGATCCATAAACTCTGTATGTCATTTAGGACTATTTAAGAACAAGCTTTCGGTACCAGCTAGCAGTAGACACTGAGTCAGTGTGAATATTTTTATCCCCCCGTATTCCTACAGTACTAAGTACTTCGATGCAATTGACATAAATTTAATATACTATTAGTGCTTGCTACGAAGTTTAGGTTGAGATATAAGCTCTTTTGACAAAGGATCTCTACACTAAGTAGCATTTGGTTTCTTAACTCTGACTGGGAAATCTGACAGGACACTGCAGCAGCTGCACTTAATCACTGGAAAGAGGAGAAAAAACCATTGCTTTAGTGAGACATTAGTGCCCAGTAATGCTCACATGTCAAACTGCCCTGCCTTTCCCCGGTTTAATACTTGGCACTGAAAAACCTTCCCCTTTTTTAAGCAGAGTCATAGATAATCAGTGAAGGCAGTCAGTCTTGAAAAGGAATGGCATTTATTCATTCCTAGGAGTCCTTGCTTAATTTGCCAGAAGAGTGGAATAATACAGGACCCACTCTTCTCTGTTTAAAATACCAGAGACACTTTCCAATATTCCAGTTCCTAGTATACAACAACTTACATTCATCCACACCGTTATTTTGTAATTAGATCTTAGGTTCAAGGTGTTTTTGGAAAAAAATGAAATTAAAACAAATGCAATTCAAGTTTTCAAGATACATAAATTGAATTAGCTAGCAAAAAATTCCTTTTCAATATTCTGCTTGAAAGAATCTAGCACACTGAAGTTTAACTCGTTTTAACTGGTACGTACCTTGGAAGCTGAGCTTTAACTTGCTTTTGACACAAGTTGTGGTATCTTTCCACTTTCAGAAATCCCTGATTTAACATTCGCTGGCAAACCAAGTCCATTCGCTTACAAACCTGTATTTAAGTAAAAAGAAAAACTTAAGGCTCAGTTAATGCCACAAGTCACTTTTACAATTATCCATACTTGCTAGGTAGTAAAAGATTCTCTTACTGGTTTTTGCTCCATTTCAAGAAGCAGAAACTGCACTTGAGCTTAAGGCATCACCATCTCCAACAATGATCACGATACTCCAAAAAGCAGCAGCTATGTTCCACACAGTTCACAAATTAATCTCCTGATATTGCCTAACAAGAGATAGTAGGCTGAATTCCACCCATATATAAGCAGATAAAATTTCCTCTAATTTTAATGGAAGTTGCAAATGCCTGTGCCTAGCTTTTAACTTGGTCTCCAGAGTGATTCTGGTAGATCAAGTTAATATTTTGTAGTCTCAAAAAGAAGCCTTTAAAAACAAGAAATCATGATGGTTTTCCTTCAGCATTTAAGGCTTATGTTTTTGAAGAGAGCCAAAATTAAATTAAAAAACTTATGCAATACAATGCATGTGAAGCAAGATTCCTTTTCATATTAAAAAAAAAAAGCCTTTTCTTCTGTTTAACAGATTTCTCTGTTTGCAATGTTGCACACCAATAGCCTCATTTTTTTCCACAGATTTAGGGGGAAAGGATATTAATAGCTGCAGAAGACATAATAAACTGCTAAATTTAAACCTTCACAAAGTAACCAGTTACAAGACAAAGCCAACTCGTACAAAAGTTTAAAGCAGTTGCAATTCAGTTCTGAAGACGCAAGAGCTTAGTGAATCAACTGTCCTTTGAAATTGTTATTTTTTTGTACTAAAGTGCACAACTCCCACTGTGACCCCACCTTCCAATGGATTAGCTTTGCTTTTTTTTTTTTTTTTTATAAATACACACTCCTTCCCTCCAAACACTACTCATTTCATAACTTTGAAGTCTGTGTAAATTTATACCTTGAGGAAGAAGATTCTCACTTCTCCTAGAAAAGCCTGCAATTATTTTCTGTTTATATGAAAGGGACTAAAAGAAGTTCTACTTTCTGTGAGTCCTCTTCTTGTCACAGCTAGTTTAAGCTCTGTGAGGAAGAACTGACCATTTTCAAACAAATCTGTATTAACAGACCATTAAGCAATTGCTGTCATCTGTCTGTGCTCCTTTGTATTAGATCTTCCTCGTTAACAGTCAAAGGAGAATGATCAGACAGGCTAACTACAGAGGTACACTCTCAGTACACTTCTCCCCCACATTCACCAGAATCAGCTAAATCATTTCTAGGGTATAAAAAAATAATGCTGGCCCTTCAACTACCGGAAGTAGGAAATTGTCACATTTCTTCTAAGACACTAGCTGCATTAGCGATGCCTAGCTATGATACTATTTTTGAGTACAAGACTTAACAGCTTGCTTGTAGTTCTAATGCTACCGGACCCCTGAACTAGGAACTAGTACCTGCACAAGGGCTTTGTTAGCCATGCAATTATTCAGCACAAGAGAAACAATCCTAGATACATTATTAGCTGCAAATTCAGAGGAAGCACAGAAAGAGCGATTTTAACCATGTGTATGCTGACATCTGGTGGCAGCAAGGACCTTTCAGTGTGCTGAAGCCCTGCCACATCCGAGAAAGTAGATCACAATGGGTAACACTAGATTTCTTAAACACTGGATTTTTTTTTACTCTTACTCGTTTGCTTACACTACACGGCATGAAGAATTACTGGCTCCAATTTCTGGACATTACCCATATTTGTGCCAATAATCCGTCTAGAACTCAAACACCGAATAGATAATGGGTACCACCAGAAAGCAAAAGTGTTTGCCTGTGACTTATTTTACCAGCCACCTCTTAATTCTCAGCTGGCTCCTGCTGTCACCATTTAAACCATATGGCACCTGAATTTATAGTAACAATACACATCTTTTAGACTGCATGGTCAGCAGTCATATGCAAAGTAGCATTATTACACTTTTACGTGTTCATATTAGTCCAAGACAGTTTAATACTAGCTATTCAATGGACCATAAGAAAGTAAAAAGTTACAATTTGCTCGTATTTGTATTTGCAAATTTTTGTCAATATTTTCTTATTCTAGCCATAAAGCTGAAAGACCACAAGTTTCCTCAAATGTCAAGTCCAACCAGACACTGTGTTCAAATTCCAGCATTAGAAAGTTGTTCCAAGTCCATGTATAAAGCAGAATGAATGAAAATGTGGCTGCTTCTTAGCATGTTGACTTATATGTGATAACAGCTTCTATGAAAGAACTAATTTTCCACTTCATTTGTAAATAAACTAAACTGACACAATCTGCTCTAGGACTACTACCAGCTTCCCTTTCCTCAAGCAGGTCTTATTTCTTCCAAGCTTCACTAACAGATAACCAATATGAAAACATAGACAAAAATATCCTAAAGTATTTAGATTCAATACATGTTATTTTTCTTAGAGGCTACACAGACACCATGTTTCATAATGCCTTTCTAGGGTGAAGTATAAGTAAGTGACAAAATGTTGATGACTTCAGCAAGAAGCTTTAAAATAGAAGTTCCTGTAAATACAGATTTGCTGAAACTGTGGGAAGATTAAAGCCGTGCTGTCCAAAGGCTATCAGTCCTTATTTGTGCTGTGCTGAAAATAAGCACAAGTTTGCTGCAGAATCTAAGACACTTCTGACGTGTGTCAGAATCCAAGATAACCTTCTCCTCAGAATGTTCGTGGAAGGAGGTTACCAATTGTTTGTTTTTAATCATGCTTGCTGTAGCAATAGCCTGAATGGAAGTGCATTTCTAAGCTCAGACATGTGAGTGAGGAGAATTTCATTATTATCCCACTCAGGTAAAAATTCCAGAGCTGCTCTAAGTCATCAAAAAATCACAGTAAAAGCAGCCTTCAAAAGCCAGAAGATACACCAGCTTCCATATCAGCATGCACACCAGGCTGCAGCTTGTCCAGAACATTACAGTTTCAGACATAATGATCTTTTGGGTTTTCTGTGTTTCTCTTATGATGACATATCAGAGGAAGCAGATGAAGTAAATATTCAAAAGGGCTGAAAGCAAAATGCTGCTGCTTTTCCTCTCATTCACTTTATCTGAACAAAAGTTTAAGAAATCAAGATTTGCACTGAGGCAGAATTTCAGACACAACTGCATTCTGAATACCTATTGTTTAGTCTCCATTACTTTAGATCTACTTCACTGCTTAACCAGTAGGTGCTTCATTTATGCTTTTAAATGCAGTAACACCAGAAATAGCAGAAAGCATTATGCTCAGGAAAGCAAGTGCTGCTTAGCACAATGAGGGCCTCGTGGTCTTGCCTTGCCTGATGGCAATCATAACATAAGCAGGAAATGTTCTTTACCTCGTCCTTTGGCGACAGAAAAGGACTTATGAGTCTTAAGCCTTAGATTATGCTCCTCATTATACTCTATATAAACAATACAGATTCCTATCTCTATTTAATCTGAAAACTTGCTAATGTTCTATGTCCTCCCACCCAGCCAACTCCTTAGTCTGTCGTCTTGTACACACTCTAGATCCAACACCAGCTCAACTCAAAGATTTTTTTTTTTTTTCCTCCTTTTATTTTTTTTTCCTCTGATCAGTGAGCTAAGGTGATCCAGAAGAAGAAAGATATTAGGACATCCTCTTTTCAATGCTGGGATCCAGAGAATGCATCAAAGTGATCAGTTTAGGGAATCCACATTTTGTGTCTACACATATATGATCAAACTTCATTTAGGTTGGTTGATGTCCTGGATCATATACTCCCACCTTCCTCAAGATGCTTTATCCCATGGAATGCCACATTCTAAGGGGTTAATGAGGCTGCTTTTGGGCACATTTTTAATATGCATGAGACCTAAGCAATTTAATCCCTGTCATTCAGTTAATGTGGTCCTGCAATGTGTCTTTAGCAGAACACTACTCATTATAAGATACACCATTCATCTTTGACAAGCAGCTCAAGTCAGTTCTCGTAGAGAAGAAAAATTTACTGTTTGTGCAAGACAGATCTTAGGGAAGGAATATACAAGTGCTTCCCAAGGCTACCTGTAGCCTTTAAAAATCTCAAAGTGATGAAGTTTCATTATCAATTTATGCCTAGTCGTTGTTATTTTTAAAGGCTACCTTAATTCTCTGTCAACAGTATCTGGAGTTATGTAAAACATCCGGTCTCTTCCTCTCAGTGAGCTGCCAAAAGAACACCTTTAGTTCTGAAAGGCCATCTGAAAGACCTAGCTGATCAAGCTCATGTGGTTATGAGCTACACTTTTGACTAGGTCAAACCAGAAGGGCTTTGATTCTTTACCTTACTGCTGGTTAACAGAGACAAGTGTACTTTCTTCTCAAATGAATGCCCATAATGCCTTCTGATGTGCTTAAGGGAACAGTAAGGAATTTCATGGAGATTAAGTTTCTTGGCTGTCACCGATA